AAGTCCTTTAAAGACAAGGACGATGATCCCGGCCGGAAAGAGACTTACATAAAAAAGAAAAACAACTTAATTTTTCTTGGATGTTTGTTCAAAACAAAATTAACAAGTGTCCCTGATGAGAATTGTATACGTACATGTGAGATGACAGCATGATGCGGTGGCAGGAGCACCAGGAAAGCTTTGTTGCTGTGAGGTACTGACACCAGTCTCAACCCGGCAGTGTCATCTGAAAGTGGACCTGGGTTAGTTGTAAATGTACATTGCAACCACTAAAGAAAGAAGTATAACAGGTGTGCTGAGAAATGAGAGTAGATGGAATCAAAAGGCAGGAAAGAAGTGACAGACAAAAAAAAGGCACAAAGAACCAGGGCGATTACAGAGATTGGTACCAAGCACAGCAGATATTAATTCAACTGGATCAATCATCACATTATACATCAAGGACCTAAATGTACCAATTAACAGGTTATCAGTGGGTTCAGAAAACAAGATCCAACCGTATGGTGTCTAGAAGTCCACTTGAAATATACAGTAGTGCCCCCCACCCAGGGATACATCCCGAGACCCCCAGTGGATGCCTGAGCTGCAGATGGCACTGAACCCTATATACCCTGGGTTTTTCCCCTATGTCTTCATACTTACAGTTAATTTATGAATTAAGAGAATGACAATGATTACTAATAGTTAAATAGAATAACCATAATATACTACAATAAATATGCCACCATCACTCCTCTTATGCTTTGGGACTATTAAGTAAAATCAAGGGTATGTGAATGTAAGCACTGAGGTACTGCAACAGTCCCATCTGATAACCAAGATGGCTACCAAGAGTGAATAATGGGCAGGTAGTATATACATTGTTGATACTCTGGACAAAGGGTATTCATACCTCAGGAGGGACAGCACAAGACTTCACAGCATTATACAGAATGATATATAATTTTAAGCTTAGGAAATTTTTTATTTCTGGAATTTTCCACTTGATATTTTTGGACTGCATTTGACCATAAGTAAATGAAACTGTGGAAAGCTAAACCATGGTTAAGAGGGGACTGCCGGAGATTAAAAGTAAAGTATTGAAGAGAGAAATGCCATACTAACTCTAGTGAAAAGAAAGCCGTAGTCACTGTATCAATGTCAGACTATATTAACTAAGTGTAAGGAAAACTGCCAATTACAAAGAAGGGTATTACAGCACTGTAATATCATGAACACAGAGTGTGCAGGGAAACTAATGTTTGGAGATTTGTTACTGTTGCTGACTGAAGTGTAGATAACACACATTATGACTTGTGGTCCATCAGATCAGTGTAGAGTTAATGGTCACCCAAACTCCCTGCACAGGCTCAGGTCTGGTCACATATTCTGCCTGGATAGACATTTCAGTCTCTTTTATATATAAAAGACACACACACATGTATGTCATGTCATACATACATGTAAAATAGGCTGCAAGGACACACACAAAATAAACAAGCATTACATTCCTCAGATAATTTTATTAGCTTTATATACATACACTTTTTTTGCATTTTGCTTTTTTTTTTATATATACTGGGGATTGAACCCAGGGGTGCTTAACCGCTGAGCCACATCTCCAGACTTTTTGGTAGTTGTAGATGGACAGCATGCCTTTATTTTATTTGTTTATTTTTATGTGGTGCTGAGGATTGAACCTACTGCCTCACATGTGCAAGGCAAGCACTCTGCCACTGAGCCCCAGCCCGTACATTTTGCTTTTTTGTACTAAATTTCTATATTACGTAGTAACTTGTAAAAACACAATGTTTTTCATTTGATACAAAATGTCTCTAAAGACTTGTTATGTTTGGACTTTAATCAAAGCAATATGTATGATCAACAAATCAAGACCATCTTATGTCTGCCCAGCCCTTTCTGAGACAGGGTCCTGCTAAGTTGCTGAGCTGGCCTTGAACTTGCGAACTTCCTGCACAGCCTCCAGAGCAGCTAGGATTACAGGTGTGTGCCACTGCACCCAGCACAAAGAGCTATTTTTAAGATTGCACCTCATTCTCTTTGTTGGCTTAATAGCTACAGCTTTGTGTCACTCTAGTGACTCCTTTACAATAGGGTTTTAGTGCACATCTTTACCTTAACCAGTGCACCTTCAAATGATCCTGTTACTTCACGTGCAAGAATCATGTGACCCACTTATTTCCACATCTCCTACCTGGTCTCTGTGTTGTTATAAACATTGCACATCTACATGTGTTAAAAAAATGTTGGCATTATTTTTGCTTTAACCACTCTTAATTATGGTAAAACCATGGGGAAACAGGTACATGCAATCCTTCTAGCATGCAGGTGCACCTGCCTAGTTACCACCTCAAGTTCTTCTTTCCTTTGTGCAAATCAAGGTTTCTACCTGTAACCATCTTTCTTCTGCTTGAAGAATTTCCCTTACTGACTCCTATGGTAGAGGTCTGCTGATTCTTTCTGATTTTATGATTTCTGGGAAATCCTTCATTTTGCCTTTGTTTTTGAATAATGTCACCAGTCGAAGAATTGTAGGGTGGCTGGTGCGGTGGTGCATGCCTGTAATCCCAGCAGCTCGGGAGGCTGAGGCAGGAGGATCCCAAGTTCAAGGACAGCCTCAGCAGTTTAGCAAGGCCCTAGGCAACTCAGCAAGACCCTCTGAATAAAAAATAAAAGGGGCTAGGGATGTGGCTCAGTGATTAAGCACCCCTGGGTTCAATCCCTGATACCAACAAAGAAAAGAGAAAAAAAGAATTGAGGGTGGCATTGTTTTCTTTCAGTATCTTTATATATATATATTTATTTATTTTAGTTCTCGTCGGACACAACATCTTTGTTTGTATGTGGTGCTGAGGATCGAACCCGGGCCGCACGCGTGCTAGGCGAGCGCGCTACCGCTTGAGCCACATCCCAGCCCCTTCTTTCAGTATCTTAAACATGTTGGTCCACCGTCTCCTAGTCTCCATTTTTTTGGATAGGAAATCTGCTGTGCTCTGTATCCTCACTTCTTTGTACTCAATCTTTTATTTTATTTCCTGCTCATTTTTTTGCTGGTCAAAGAAACCTGATCAACTCTGGTTACCTTTGACAGCCCTCAGTTACCAGACCCATGTCCTCAACTCAGGGAAGGCACCTGGTCGTGAGGGAGTGACCCCTCCTGCAGCCCCATTTTCTAGTAGTACACAGGATCGCTTCATTCCCCACATCTAAAATATCTTTTCATTAGATACTGGAGGGAGGGTGACCCAACAAGACAGAAACTTTCAATCAATAACTGCCTCCATCCAGTCAAATATTGCAAGAAAAACAAACGCGGCCTTGCCCACACCCCATGAAGCCACAGAAGAACTCAGCAGCGCCAGGCCAGGGTGGCTCTCTCCCGGTCCTGCAGGTGCAGTCAGAGGCCTGGGGGAAACTGCAGCAGGGCCTGCACATCCTCTGCAGCTGGTGGTCATGGTCACGTTCCCAAGGTGACCATTCCACTACCAGGGTGGCAGAGGAGGCTACTGGGAAAGCCACATCAACCCCAGGGTTTCAGAACACAGTAATGAAAATGTGTGAGATACCACTACTGATTATGCCAAAACCCAGAAAGTGCACCTCTACCCAGGGGACAACGGAAACCAACACTGAAGTGACACAGATGTTGGAGCTACATGACAAGGATTCAGAACAGCCATCGTGGAAATGCTTCAGCGCAAATCACAAACAACACCAAACAGCAAAAAACTGGAAAGTCTCAGCAAAGAAATAGAAGATATCAGGAAGAATCAAATGGAAATTTAGAACTGGAACATACAACAGCCAAAATAAAAATACTGCGTGGATGGTCTGAGAGCAGAAGAGAGAGGAAAGAGGAACTAATCCTGGACAGTAATGGGAACCACCCAATCTGAATCAGAGAAAGCGCCAGGCTGGGGGACTGTGACAAGGGCCTACCTGTGTCGGCAGTGGATGGGAGGAGGACGGGGACAGAGAAAGTATTCAAAGAAACAGGAAATGATGATCCACCCCACGGAGGAGGAACATGATGGGTCACACCCCTTACAGGGGCCTGTGTCCACAATACTAAAGTGTTGTTACAACTCAATGATAAAAACACAAAGAACCCAATTTTTCAAATGGGCAAAAAGAGGTGAAGAGACATTTCTCCAGACACCACACAAGTGGTGTCAAGCATGTGACAAGAGGTTCCCGCTGCTGGCACTTGATGTGCAAGTCGGAACAACGAGGCACTTCCTGCCACCAGGGCAGCCTGGGCCCTGCTTGAGGTGGGTGCAGCTGTGGGGGACAGGGCAGGAGGTCACCTCCCAGAGATGGACCAGCACGAGTGGGCGTCGGGCACAGCCACCGCAGCCCTTCACGTCCCTGTGCACATTACCTCTGGGTGGGTCTTTTCCTGTCTCCCTGCTCCATTTACTTTTGTTGGTTTTAGCAAGTATTTAAAGTAGTCTTGAACAAGGTCTGTGTGTAACGTCCCTGTCACACTGCCTAGCACAGATCATGTGATCAATAAATCAAAACTAGAATTATTTATTTGTAAATAAAGAATGTTGAAATTTCCTCAAAAAAAAAGAGGTGACATGGCAAGATGTGAGGGGGGAGTCCCCAGGTGCCTAGGGCAGCAGGCACGGTGTTGCAGTGGGGGGGCCAGGTGGCAGGAAGGTCAGTGGCGAGAAGATTAGGTGGCGGCCCTCTTGAGACCTGACCAAATAGAGCGCTTCATTCCCTGTGCAGCCTTCACCTCTTCCCAGTCCAGCCTGATGTCAGGAACCTCCTCTTCTGGCTCAGGATCCTTCCTCAAGGCCCCCCGGGGGGAGGCGACCACAATGGGCAGGGGGCCACATTCCTCCCGGAATTCCACCACATGGAGACCCTTCTTGTCGGCCAGCTGTTGGTGGGTTTCCTGGGCAAGACCAAAGTGAGAACAGCAATTAGGTCTCCGAGGGTCCCTATGGCTATAGGAGTGAGAGGCACCACCACAGGGGTGGGATGGGGGTGGGGGTGGGGGTGCAGTAGCCACCAGAGCACTTGGGGGAAAGAGCAGTGCCAGCTGATTCTGGATGGTTAAACCACAGTGGCTGTCACAGGGGGACGCCTCAGCCCACCTTCCCACCCCAAACTGGGGTACGCCAGGCCTCGCCTTCCAAACTCCCTAAGCACGTGCCTGCTGGGCCAAGCACCAAGCCTGAACCTCTCGGAGCCCTGAGATCTAACAACCAACTCACAGGAGGTCCAGGGGGGGGAAGGACATCAAGGACCCCACGGGTGCTCAACCCTGGAAACACTATGGGACAAACCACCTGACTTCCTCAACACAACAGCAGCAAGGGGGGAAGAGAGAGGGACAGACCAAGAGAGACTTAAAAGACACAGGAGAAACTTCAGAAGTGCTGACATCTTCTCAACTGAATTGAATCAAATCAACGGGATTGAATCACACTGTGTAAAAAAATATTTTTAAATTGGACAAATGGATAGATTTGAATGAACAGATTCAATACTTGATAATACTGAGTCATGATATTTAGGAATGGTAAGGGTACCATGACATTTTTTTTTTTTTCCAGTGCTGGGGATCAAACCTGGGCCTTAAGTATTCCTAGCAAGCACTCTACCATAGAAGTAAATGGATCCTTTAGAGATTACACTGAAATATTTATGAATGAAATAAAATGGCACCTGAGATTTGGTTCAAAACAACTCGGTGAGGTGATGCTGAGAAACAAGACTAGCTCTGGTTGGGCAGCAGAGCCCTGGGGTCACTGCAGCAGGTGCCACAGAAGTCTGGAAACAGGCAAATACATCCAGTGGATGGTTTATTCATAGTTCCTGAAAAATCTGATATGTGTAACTTCATGTTTCCAGACTATGGCTGCTTGTACTACCCTAATTCTCTAAGTGTACAAAATTGGAAAAAAGAAGCTGTTTCATCAGGCACAGTGGCACATGCCTGTAAACACAGCCTCTTGGGAGGCTGAGGCAGGAGGGTCCTAAGTTCCAGACCAGCTTTAACAATTATCAAAGGCCCTAAAACTTAGTGAGAACCTGTTTCAAAATTTAAAAAAAGGGGGGGGCTAGGGATGGGCTGGGGTTGTAGCTCAGTGGTACAGCATTTGCCTTGCAAACATGAGGCCCTAAGTTTGAGCCTCAGCACCACATAAATAATAAATAATAAAGATATTGTGTCCATCTACAACTAAAATATATATATATTTTTTTAAAAAGGGGCTACGGATGTAGCTCAGTGGTTAAGTGCCACTGGGATCAATTCCTGGGACCAAAAAAAAAAAAAAAGATAGGCTGTTTCATAAATAAAATAAAATAATTTAAATTGGTATCTTATAATCAAAGGCATCTCACCTAAATTAGTGGTATTTTTGCCTTTTTGAGTGGCACATTAAAAAATGCAACTCGTCCTGATGACATTTTAGAAGAGATGATAAATAGTGACCACAAGAGAAGTTTCAAAATGCCAAGAGAAAACAACGACAGCACATGGAAGAAACATGAAAGGTAAACGCAACCAACAGCTTCATCACACCAAACAATTAAATAATTAACCCTCCCGAGCCTGAATTTAGAAATGCTTTGAAGGATGTTAGCTAAAAACCAACAGCACAAAAGCTGTTCCAAAAAGATCTTTTATTCAAAGCCTTTTTTAAAAAAATCTATATATACATATATAAATAATATATACATATACATACAGATATAAAAATGATATGTATATACACATAAATTATACATACATAGTATATAAATGTATACACATATATTTTTCTTTTTTTTTTTTTGAAACAGGGTCTTGCTAAGTTGCTGAGGCTGACCTCAAAATTGGGTTCCTTCTGCCCTAGTCTCCCAAATCACTGGGATTACAGGCGTGTGCCACCATGCCCAGCTTAATTTTCACATTTTAAACAGAGGTACGTAAAACGATTATGTGTATCATCTTATTCAAAAACCACCCAGGCGGGCTGGGGTTGTGGCTCAGTGGTAGAACGCTTGCCTAGTATGTGTGAGATACTGGATTTGATTCTCAGCACCACGTACAAATAAACAAAATAAAGGCCCATCAACAACTAAAAATATTTAACAAAAAATAACTTCAAAAACTCCATCTGTTGGTTAATTACCATGAACTCTCCTTTTTAAAAATTTTTTCTTTCCACGTTTTTTACTGGTGCGTTACTGCAGCTCTAGATGACGGGATTTGCTGCTGCATATCCACACGTGCACATGACCATTGCAAGCTCTCAGTGGGTCTGACTAAGGGGATACGCCACACACAGCAAAGAATGCCCACATCCTCAGGTGGCCGTGAGAGCCCCTAGGAGACCCTCAGCACCTTGGTCTGCAGCACAGCCAGACCTGCTCAAACCCCAGGGAAGGTTACCTGGCGGGAGAGCCCATGGAAGAGGCCCCGGGTGAGGTTGAGCATGTTGACGGACCCAGAGACCTTGGCATACATGTCCTTGATGCCAATGAGCCGGCAGATGGTAATGATGGCCCTGTGGCAGCGGAGGCCGTATCCTAGGAGACAGGAAATGGACTGAGCACCTGCCAGCATGCTGTCTTTCATGTGGCTCTGGGTTTAGGGAATGACATTTTGGCTTCACCACACTCAGCTGGTGTGACTTCCAGGACGACATTTATTCAATGGTATGTACAAAAATTAAACAGAACATCTACCTTAAATGTAGTGTGGGGGGGAAACCAGGATATTACTTAGATTAAGACTTAAGTGCCTGAAAACTCTTTTGCTCTCTACCCATGCCAGCTCCCGTGTCCATGCTTGGTTACCATCAAGGGAGACGCCTGTCCTCACCTTCCTAGAGCACTCAGCTGCCCTGGCAGCGACACCACTTCCCTCTCCTGGGAACACCTTCTGGCCTAAGTGGCAGCGTCTCCTGAATTGGTGGCTCCTGGAGTGCTTTCTCACCTCCCTGATGGCCTTTAGTGCTGAGGTGGTCTCCTCCCCTCTAGCCATGTGCTCTGCTCTTGGCCACCAGCAATCCCTCCTCCAGAAGAGCTTCAAAAACACAAGCCAGGGCTGGGGCTATAGCTCAGAGGCAGAGCGCTTGCCTGGCATGTGTGAGGCACTGGGTTTGATCCTCAGCAACACAAGGCTCCCGGGCACAGCCTCTCACTTGCCATTGCTCTCTGAATTAAACAAAGACGTCTGCACGATCTTCCCCCACAATATCATTATCTCTCTCTCTCTCTCTCTCTCTCACACACACACACACACACACACACACACAGTGCCTGACCCCACCTACTGCACTGTCCTCACATGGCCTGTGCACGAGGGCACACTGCACCTGGGGCATGCCCCAGCCTGGAACGTTCTCCCAGGCCTGCCCCCTCTGCTCCTCTTCCTTCAGGATCTCACTCACACTGCCCCTGCTCAGAGGCCACCTCTGGCCACCCTGATGAAGGTGGCCCTCCTCTTCCTCCTGACAGCATTGAGAAAGGCACAAGGCAGTAGCTCAGTTGCTTAGGGCCTCACTAAGTTGCTGAGGCTGGCCTGGAACTTGCAATCCTCCTGTCTCAACCTTCTGAGTGTCACTGGGATTACAGATGTGTACCACTGCACCCAGCTCCTGACCTGAACTCCTGAGATTTAAAAAACTACAGTCAAATGAAACAGGTTCTTATTACAGAACTGCAAGCAAAATGCAAATCCAAATGTTTAAGAATTCTGCACCAAGAGTGCACTGGGCGTGACTGTCCCCATAGCCAACACTGCCTGTGGCCTGTCCACAAGACAGAAAAGGCCATTTCTGCTCACCCAGTGCCTCAATGAATAGAGATCATAGAAATTCAACAGCACTCAACAGTGAGGGGCTGGGGGGAACTCCGTGACAGCGCGTGCTTCACAGGTGCGGGTCTCTGGTTTAATCCCCAGCACCAAATAACAAGCCTAACACCACGACACTTGTAGAGGAGCAGCACGTGACTGGCAGGAAGGAACACCGTCCAGCTGGGTGAAGGCTCCAGGAGGAACCATGTGCCCACTCATCCAACCTGACCACCACCACCTGCTCCGCCCGCCTCAGCCACTCTGGGAACAGGCCTGGGCCTGTGCAGCCCGACCTTGGCTTCTTCCCCAGGAGCCTCGCCTTCCTCAGCCTAATTCAGGCCTTCCCATCTGTCACTCTCAGGATGAGTTCAAGGAGAGGCGAACAACGCCAGGGGGGAGGATGGGACTGTTGTGGTTTCTCTGCTTTATGTTCAACAGAGAGTCAGAGCTTTCCAGTTACCTCTGGGCTGTTTCTTCATCTTGATGTGCGTCCTCTTATATCTCAACGAGATGTCATGGAATACTGGGAGGTAAAGCAGACACAGGAGGGTCAGGCGTGTGGCTTTAATGTCTGCAAAAGCCACAGAGCACCCGGTGCTGCCCTAAGCAGTCAGCCCACAGGACACACAGACGCTGACCCCACTCATTCTCCTGCCACCCCCCCAGGCCAGGCTGTTTCCTCATTTTGCACATTTGTAAGAATGCAGTCAGAGCAACACAAAGACACCCACAGGGCATGACACAGTGGCATTCTGCAAATCTTCAAGAAAAGACCCACACTCACTTGTATGGTCTTCATACCGCTCTATGTAATGCAAATAGCGGATGGCTTTGTTCTTTGCCTGAAGAAAAGAAGGAACACATTCTCCTAAATCTCTCGCTGGGTTTCAAAACTATTTTATAAAGTATTTTATTATAAAAAATTCCCCCTATGCACCTTAAAAGATAAGGACTTAGCCACAAGATCATTATCACACATACACTGACGATTCCTTCGTGATACGTGACTGTGTGCCTGCAGTGCCCCCATGTGAACACAGAGCTTTTCATCTTCTACTAAATGTTAACAAAGAAAAACATGCACGTACTTTCCTGAAAGCGTCCACCCGCTCAGTGGCCTTCCCAATGGCAAAACCTTCAAAAGAAAAAGCAAAACTTATGAAAAGGAAAGCTACTCTGACCCAGCCTGTGCCTCTCCCCAGCTCCCAGTTTGGGCTCTACAACATTTCACGCCCTTCTTTCAACTGCCCACAGAACACCTGCTATGCACAACCAGCCATGAAGAAAGCCAGAGATGTGCTCATCTGTTCTGAGCATTCTACAGACTTTACATTTAGATACATAACGTTACCTTTTATAAATCTCTAATAAAATGAAATATACTCAATTTTTAAAACTAAGTATGCTCTATATTTATAAAAGGCAATGTTTTTGGACACTTGTGTAAAGAGATTAAAATGACCAGAAGGGATGGGGGAAAATACATTGTTATAGAGTAAAACTATGATTTCAGTAGAATTTAGATTTTAATTAACCAGAAAAATAAACCCAATAGTTTCCAATTTGTAAATGCTTTACCCTAAGAAATGAGGTTTATCACAAGTTGCAGAAATGCTTCCATTATTTGCTGCCACCATTTATTATTTAATTTGAAAAAAGTACTGTGTTTTTAAGTTATACACAGGAAAATAAAATACGCAAGACATCTAAGGCCTGGGATGAAAGGGGCTTGAATTCCAGTTCCTAGTTTAAACAGAACAAAGTAAACCATGGAAGTCCTAGAGGGACATATGAGTGGACTTACTTATAATCTTCAAATGGAGGCTTTCTAAGCAAAACACAAACCAGAAGTGACCTAGGACTGATAAATTTGCTATGTTAAGGGTTAATACTTCTGTGGATTTTAAAGCTTCGATGTGGAAAAAAAATTCAAAACTAAGTCAAAATATCTGCTAGACAAAAAGGGCTCATGTCCTTAACTTACAAGAAGCTAATCCCAATCAATAAGGACAAGAAAACCACCCAATTAAAAAAATATGCAAAGCACCCGAACTGACAGATGTCCAAAGTGAAAGTGCAACGGCCAATGAACACGCAAAATGGCGTCGGCGCTCTCCTAACTTAGAAAGTACAGATGTAAACTAGGAGAGACATTTCAGGGACCATACTGACAATCAGTAAAGTCTGATACTACTCAGGGCAAGGACGGGTGGTACAGAGGGACATAAACTGATGCAACCTTTGAGGAGGAGATCTGGCAATACTTGACATTTAAACCTAGTGCAGCAGCAATTACAAGATATTTCTCCTATTTCTATACTTCCAAAAGTTCAACAAACTCCATGTACAAAAAGGTCAATGTTGTTGTTGTTTTTAATAAATGATACAAATTTGGAAACAATAGGGATTGGGTCAAAAATCATGTCTATGCACACACTGGAACACTATGAAACCAATACCAGAAATCTGCTTATGCTAACAGAAGACCTCTGAGGGCAAAACCAAGCAAGAAGAGCAAGGTGCAAATTCATGGATATAATAAGATCTCTGCTAAGCTTTTTATAAAAAGGTAAAGGGAGGTAACATGGACACAAAATTTCAGAAAAGATATTTTTGAAAAGAGACAACAGTAACTGCTATCCATGGTCTCTTACAGCAACGCACTATCATGTATTTTGCTTTTGCTTCGAAATTTTCAAAAGGAAGCAACTAACAGTTTTTTAGTTCTATGTGAACACATTTCAAAAACAAGATGTTCAGTAGGGAAACTTTAAAAGTCTAAAGAAGAAAATTTAAATGATTGACAAACCTGCTAACCCAAGTGAACACTTATCAGTGTATAGTCTTCTAGTTTTTTTCTTTGCATATAAATGACTTTAAAAAAATCATGATTACATGACAAATTTTTAACAAAAATTACTTATTGTGTAAGTAATTTTTCACAATTCTTTAATGGCTATAGAATATTACTTTGGAGGCCTGGGGTTGTGGCTCAGAGGGAGAGCACTCGCCTGGCATGTGTGAGGCACTGGGTTTGATCCTTAGCACCACATAAAAAATAAAGATATTGTGTCCACCTATAACTAAAAAATAAATATTTAAAAAAAAGAATATTACATTGGATAGCTATCCTGTAACTAGGCCCGACTGGACTTGTTCTAATTTTTCACTATTATGCACAATACAATGGTGTCTTAAGCCCTTTAAAATACCCAGTCCTCAGATGTAGGCCTTAAGAGCTCTTGGTTTACCACCAGGTTTGTGAGCCCAGACCTCTAGACGACTCTATTAGTAGAAAAAGTGAGACCGGCAGCCAGGCCTCTTTGTGTCCAGCGTCACCCCACTCACCTGCAGCTCCCTGCCCATTCCCCACAGCCACCAGGACACGGACTGATCTCTTCCTCCCCTCTTTGGCTGTCATATTAAAAACATTTCTTACCTAAAAGACAAAATGCTTCATCAATAGGACAGCTGAAGAAAACTCTGAGGTAGAGGACGAGGACCTGCTGGCTCAGCCACACAGGCTTGGTGAGGGGCCCAGTACCTCCAGTCTGTAGGCACAGAAGCAAACTTCCCAAACAAACCCTCCCTCTGAAGCATTTCCTCAGGAACAGAACGGAAATAAGACTTTCTCTTCCTATTTCATAGGGTTCTTAGGAGAGATAACCTTTAAAGGAATTTACAACTACACAACTCAATATACCCTATCTTAATAAATGTACACAGGAAAGAAAACACTGTGGATTAAACTTTGAAATAGTTTAACACTGATTATAAGACAAGTTCCAGTATCAAAGGTACTAAAATATCTTAGAAATGATGAAATGCAACGTAAAGAAAAAACTTCGTAGGACTGGATTGCTATGTTAAGGATCAGGCTTAAACAAGAATACAGAATTTGGAAACACCTATTTATTATAAACTTCAGGAAAATCTCCAATTTTTTCAGCCTATTTTAAAGGCCAGGAATTATGAAACTATTAACTAAACTGCTTAAATGACAGTTGTCCCCTTTCCTTCCTAGGAAGGAGTTTAAGGAAAAGGGAGGCTGAGTCCACACTTTTGAATGATCTTATAGGAAACAACCTACATATGAAAGACTCTTTCAGTGGGATTAACTTTCAAAAGCTATGAACTGGGGTGTATGTAGGGGCACACGCCTGTAATCCATGTGACTCAGGAGACTGAAGCAGGAAGAAGGCAAGGTCAAGGCCAGCCTGGGCAACTTAGTGAGACCCTTCTCAAAATAAAAAGTAAAAAGGGCTGGGGATGTAGCTTGGTGGCAGAGTGCTTGCCTAGCATGCACAAAGCCCTGGGTTCAATCTCTAGAATTGAGGTGGGGGGAATAACACACAATGGGATACCAACATAAAATACTTGTAAACATATTTTTAATTCCATAATGTAATGTAACTGATATTGAAGAAAAAATATACATATTCAGAGAGGCTTTGTCACAAATTTGATATATCAATTATTCCACATTTTGGGGAGGTACCGGGAATTGAACTCAGGGGCACTTGACCACTGAGCCACATCCCCATCCCTTTTTTGTATTTTATTTAGAGACAGGGTCTCACTGAGTTGCTTAGGGCCTTGCTTTTGCTGAGGCTGTTGAACTCACAATCCTCCTGCCTCAGCCTCCCAAACCACTGGGATCACAGTTGTGCACCACCGCGCCCGGCTCTGTTCCACATTATTAAACACTGATTAAATGCACATACCAGCTCAAAGGAACACTGCCATTAGAGAGTGCCCTGGAAGGGTGGTTCAAGTACACCTGACACAGGATCTGCGAGCAGCCCAGAGACCACTGCCCTATCCAAACTGGACACTGGCCATAACCTGAGGCTTTCTGCCCCTGCTCCTCCCAACCTGTTCTCTGATTGTGTCCTAGACACAACTGGTGTACAGCTCCACAAGAGGCCACCAGATAGCACACCCTAGCTCCAGGAAGAAGGAACTTAATATAATCTCCAAATTCTGCTCCTGAATTTGCCCCTCGCAAACCTCAATTTCATAGTCCCCTAAAAACCAAGGCAGCAGTGGGGACCACCAACATCAAGGAACTGAACTTCAAATTGTGTTAATTCCTCCCTGAACTTGAGTCTGTGTCCGAGAGATCACTGTAACCACAGTTTTGCTCAGCTCCTCCTGCCCACCCCACCCCACCCTGGCAACCTCTCCAGAGGACCCTGAGAGTTGAGCTCGGCAGGCCTACCTCGAGTATCCTGGTATCAAAGTCCTCATAGGTCTCTACAAGGAGAGAAGAAAAAGCACACAGATAAGAGCATCCAAGCTGCTCACGTGTGACAGCCTTTCCCAGGTACCTTCAGACTTCCAATCAGAAGAACCTGAGCTCTCTGGTGCCGCTCTCCAGGCTGTGTCCCAGTTCCCATCATCCACGGGGACTGCCTGGCCTGACTTCATGAGCTCAGCCACGGCTCTCTGACTGCAGCCTCCCCCTCTCCAGCTCCCTGCTGCCGGCTCCTGAGGCACGGGTTCCTGGAGCCCCGACACCTCCAGAGCCTCCAAATCGCTTTCGCATCTGGTCCACTGGGGTCTTCACAGCCTCTCTCACGATAAGACACCAAAGTCCCTCATTCCTCAAAGATCTCGCCAACGTCCTCAATCCCTACACCTTTGTCTCTACCGCCCTCTCCAGGCCAGAACCCAGGCAGCTGTCTGGTCACAAGTGGCCTGTGGGTGCTGTCGGGAGAGATCAGAGCCTGGCCCACGCTCACCACTCTCAACTGTGGGTCTGACTCGCTTGGGAACTCCCTGCTCCTCGGCTTTCAGTTCTCATCCTCTGCTCACCACGGGAGCTATTTCAAACACTCCCCAATTCTCTTGCTTTTACTTATTCCAGAAAATCTCAATTACATAATAAAATAGGAGAGCAGAATAAAAGCTTCTGTACCCAGCAGTTGGCTTTGACAGAGGTCAGCTCAGAGTCAATCTTCTTTCCGGGACACTGCCTGGGTCCCACCCACTGGGTGATAGTGAAGCCACTGCCAAGTGCCACCTTCTCATCAAGAAATATTCTGGTGGCCATGTTCACCAATGCCACTATCTGACTTGATGATCCTGACCGAAGCCATCACATACCAGGTGACCTCCCCACCTTTCCACCCCCATTGCACGGGCTCACCCAAACCTGCACTCTGCCCCTGCTGGCTAACAGCAGCCCGTCTGTCTGAACTCTGGATCTGGTCACTGGGGACTTGGCTCGTGGGCAGGTCCTCTCCCTCCCAGACCTCCACCCTCCTGCATGCTCGCCCCATCCTCTCCAGCCCAACCGTTCCTTCACTTTGAGCCAAACTCCTGTTTGCTTCCTCCTCTCCCACTTACTGGCAAGAGCAAGATTTTCAGGTGAATTTGCCTTCTTTGGGGAGGGGGAGACTTTGTTTTCTAATTCAGCCTAAGTGTCATCAATTTTTGTTTCATGTTTGCTTTTACAAAGGCTTAGTGATAGCTCTCTGGTCTCTCAACTCTGCTGTTAAACAGCACTCCAAGCCTGAGGCCACGCTTGGGAAACACTGCGCCCTACAGATCTATTACGTATACCACCATGTCTAAGGCACCTGCTAAGGCACTAGGACCCAGCACTTTCCATTCTGTTGGAGGAACACTTCCTGGTTACGGGCCTCTAGTGTCCCACAAATGCAACTGGGAAAACAATGTGGAAAGTTAGTCAAAGAGGTCAAATACTTTTTTCAAAAAGGGTAATCTAAACAGACAAGTAAACAATAAAATTATTTTCAGAAACTCTGTAGGACGAAACGTCCTCTACCCAAAGGCAAGCGATCCAGGCCTCCAATACCTCCATTGGGACCAGGGTCCGGGGGGCCGAGACTGAGGCCACCCCACGTGTTCCCGCTCCAGCCTCGCTCCCGCTTCACTTTCATCTTCCGCTTCCGGTCCCACTCTTCCCTCTGCTGGAGCATGTCAGCCGCCACCTGCTCCTGCTCCTCCTTGCTCCTCTGGGCAATAGTCTGCACGGCTCCATTTCTCATGAGAGGGGCATTCAGACCCGGCCACAGGAAGCCGTAGCGCCCTGGAGGGTTAAGATTATAGGTAACTGACAACTTCCAAAAGTTGCTCACTCTTCACGTGTTAATGCCAGGGAACGCGTGTACAGTCACCTGCACAGTGTGGTGGAGTTGAAGCTGATGTGGTCACACGGCAGGTGACCTTGCACTGTCACAATTTTATGCATATCTACCCTACAGGCATGTGACCGCACTTTCACTTTTACCAAGAGAAACACCAGTGAGGCCTGTGAGCGCTAAGATGTCTGCTGAAACACGACCTGGAACGCACGTAAGCCGAGTCGGCAACAGTGGAACGGCTGAACGCACAGCCAACAGGTGCCATATCCTGCACAAAATCAAAAACCATTGCTCTCCAGGTTCTGATGTGGAATGATTTCTAAGACATGTTATTATTATTACTTTTGCTTCTGGAAATTGAACCCAGTGGCATTCTACCACTGAGCCACATCCCCAACCCTTTTTATTTATTTTGAGATAGGGTCTCGCTAAGTTCTTGAACTTGTCATCTTCCTGCCTCAGCTTCCCCAGTCGCTGGGGTTAAGGGGTGTGCCACCATGTCCAGCCCTGAGACCTCTTATTGGGTTAAAAAAAAAAAAGCAGATTATACAATTGCATGTACCATATGGTAAAATTATCTTTTACTTTTCTTTTTTAAGACAGTATCTATTTCTTTTAGGGAATTTATACAAAAGCGCGCACACGCACACACAAAAACAACTGAAGGAAATACCAATATGAGACCAGTGGCCCCTCAGGGGAGACAATGGGAATGTGGATGGCAGAAGGACATCAGGGGCTTTTAGTTTTCTCTACAATCTGCGTTTTTACTGAGAAGGTATGCATACGATTTTTATAATTTGAAAAAATAAATTATAGCCAGATACAGTGGTGCATGTCAGCAGTCCCAGGTAGGTGGGAGGCTGAGACAGGAGGTTTTAACCTGCAAGTTCAAGACCAGCCTGGTAAGACCAGATGGCAAGACTTGTCTCAAAAATAATAATAATAATAATCATTATTATTATTAATATTATTAAAAATAAATAACAAATGCTTTAAAACTAAAACAAGCACCCAAGCAGATGTGAAATCTTAGAAGTGCAGCACAAGGTGCTTCCTTTATTTCTGAAAGGTTGTTAGTATCAAAAGCGATGAGTCTGCACAACAGTAAAAATAAGCCAGTTCAAGTTCACCCATCCTATTTTTGCTTTCAAAAGCACAAGTATAAACAATCACATCAGCACGTGAAGGACCAAGGCCAAGTGTGGCCCACCAGCTGATTTGTAAATAAAGTTTTACTGGAACACAGCTGGGCCTGTCCAACCATGCGCTGTCCAGGGCAGTTTCTGTGTGACAGCAGCCCAGTTAAGTAGCTGCAACAGGCCCTGTGACTACAGGTCTGCTCTTGGTCACTGTCTTCTCTGGGCAGGGGAAGCCTGCCAGCTCTCTGCGAGCTCCACCTGCCTGCACTGGGCTGTATGCAGCACAGGACCCATCACAGCTGTGCCCCACAGGGGTACCTGACACTCTGGGGCAGCTGGTAAGCCCCCTGGTTGGACTCTAAACCATGGATCCTTGTGCACTTAATGAGAATGTTTCCTGTTTGCCAAATATCCATAAAATCTGGGGAAAATACTTTAAAAGCACATTGACTCTTTTTAGAACTAAGTTTGCCGTTGGGCCCCTCAAGCCTCCCTCAGACCCAGCTTGCTTCCCATTTCTCCCCTTCCCAAGATCATCAGTTTCCCACCCCAAGTTCAGGACCAAATCTGAAAACTGTCAAAACAACCAAACACATTTACCTTCACCAATGACCTGACCCCTGTTCAGATCCTTCCTTCTCTTTTTTTTGCTTCTTTTGCCTCTTCCTTTTCTTGCCCCAGCACCAGTCTCTGCTAAAGCACCTTTCCAGAGCTCATCTGCTGTCACTGTAAGGAAACGGGGTTTTTAAAAATTCTGTAGTTGTAAAGCAAAGATCTACACTCTCCTAAGAATAAGAAAGGCCAGCAAAGCCCAGCTTCACCCATGTCACTGAGGTAATGAAAATAAAATAAAATCATACAGTGAACATAAAACATGATTACATTTGGAAAACACAAGAGGAGACAATTCTACTTTTTTTCCACAAAAGATAGCTAACATTAAATCCCAGTAAGTCCCTGACCAGTAGACTTGCTTCCCTGATGTCTGCCAATCACAACTCAGGTCTCAGTAGTGACGTCTCTTAAACTTCTCCAAATGATATGTCCTAGCAAAGGACCAGCTAAAAACAGTGAGGGCCTTTTTGGTGTGACTCTAAATCAGCAGGGTATCTGGGGCACAATTCAATACTTTTAGGCCGTAGGTGCCCCAAATGAGGGGCTCAGAGTAAACTAGCGCTCTCCAAATATAGCTATAGCACATGAGATAATTCTAGTTGCTACACTAACATGCATTTTTAGTTTAATAATCACTAAAATGTTAATTCATTTATGACAGAAGAAAAATCAAGACAGGAAAGCACCCCTACTTTCCTGTTGCAGGAGGTGGAAGTGTGTGCCAGTCTACATACATTTAGTGAAGAAGCTGTAGGGTCTGTACTGCTGGCCTGACCAGCTGCTGGGAGGAGAGATACAGCACTGTGTCTGTAGCGCATGGCTCAAGCTGGTGAAGTGTCGGCTGTCTCTGGTTCCCCGAAGTGACAAAGGGCCTACAGAGAGATGAAACAAAACCAAGTTAGATGCTCCCTGGCTGTGGAGCTGCCAACACCAAATAACTGTGACTGATAAAAATAAGTCACTAAAAATTCTAATCTTTTAAGAATCATATTTTGAGGACAATTGTTCTTTAAAAAATAAAACCAAACTTTTGAATGAAAGCCACCTAAATGCCCATCCTAGAGAGGTCATGGTTCATTTGCACAGTGGATTTCACAGTTTCAAGAAAGCTCTGTGCAGCCAGGGTTTCTGCCCTGCATGATCCAGCCTGAGCTCCTGGGCTGCTCTGGGCAAATGGCGCCCTCTGCTGTATGCAGCTGGGCAGTGGGCAGATGAGGAAAGACCTTCAAGTGAAACTGTTCAGAAGAACAAGATGCAATGTGTAGAGGGTACCCTGCCCTTTATGTTCAAAACCCAGGGAGGCAGGGAATGCATGTTGTAGACAACTCTAGAAGATCATGCAAGAAACTGAAGAGCGGCCACCTCTGTGGAAGAAAACAGGGGCATTTAAGGCTGAATGTGAAAGACCTGCGCTTTTGTATTTTGGGGGAAATTTTTTTTTAACCACATGCATCAATTACTTGAAAAAAGATTTTAGAACAGCCATGTCTGAGAGGAAGCCATCTGACCAGTCCCAGGAATGGCGGTGTCATGTGAGGAAGAAGGCAGAGGTGACAGGAACAGGTGGCTATGAAGGAGTGGAACAGGGCTAGCAAGATCAGTGAATGCACAGATTCTTGAGCTCTGTGCTTCATTAGAGAAGTGACAGGATTAAAACAGCCCTGGAGGGAAAGTGGCCTTAAGGGTATTGGCTTGATAAATAGAAAGCCAAAAAAAAAAAAAAAAAGGAAGAAAAAAAATGACAACAGCTGTTTTCAACTCTGAGTGAAGCCATGTAGAGGACAGTAACCGCAGATTCATCAGCAGCACCAACCATGACTCACACAGCCAGAGAAAGAAAGCGGGTAAGGACGGGGAGAGTGACATCTAAGGGTGGTAGGAAGTCATCGAAATAGTTCCACTGAATACAGAGACCCAAACACAAAGGGATAATCTTTGATTACTGGACAGCACTTAATATAACCATTTTGTTTCAAATGTAGGCCTATGAGATAGATTTGCCAATGTCACAAGGTACTGGATGACTGGATGAGATTTCAACACTAATTTCAATTCCAGATGATTTGCTCACCTGTGGGAAGGGAGATCACACCTAGCACACAGATGTCCTCTAGAACTGTAGACCACCTGATGAACTACCAAATAAAATGTAGCTAGAAAATACTGGGTCTTCATTTTTTTTTTTAAGTTGTTGATGGATCTTTATTTATTTATATGTGGTGCTGAGGATCAAACCTAGTGCCTCACATGCTAGGCAAGCACTCTGCTACTGAGCTACAACCCCAGCCCTGGGTCTTCATTGTTTAACAAACCAGAACTTTATCATTCCAAATCTCATTCTGCTACACACAGCCTTTCTTGTAAACACCTTCATCTTCAACACATATCTTAATATTAATAAATTTCATCTTGCCCTGTTCAGCATTATAATCTTTGATATAGTTCAAGAAGTGTAAAAATTATTAACAGATTTTTTTTGAAAGACTGAAATATCACTCATAGCTAATAATGTACCCAGCCTAAAAGAAGCCAAATGTCAAAAATAAAAAGAAATCAACTTTAGAATTTAGAAATAGTCACTTGTTTTTTGTTTGTTTGTTTTAATGGGAGGCAGGGAAGAACTGGGGATTGAACCCAGGGCTTTGCATACATTAGAAATAGTCACTTTTTCTGGGTGCATTGGCACATGGCTGTAATCCCAGTGACTCAGGAGACTGAGGCAAAGGATTTCAAGTTTGAGGCCAGCCTTAGCAACTTAGCAAGAACCTGTTTCAAAATAAAACATAGGTCTGGGGATATAGCTCAGCTGGTAAAGTGCTTGTCTTGCATGCACAAGGCCCTGGATTCAATCCCCAGCACCACAAAAACAAATAAACAAAGAAAAAATATATAAAAAGGGCTGGTGATGTGGCTTAGTGATAGGGTTCCCCTCAGTTCAATCCTCAGTACCACCAAAACAACAGTCAATTTTCATGCACACTTGTGTAAATGGTTTTGCTTACACTGTGTTATGATTTTTTTTAAATATTTTATTTACATTTTAGTTTTCGGCAGACATAAAATCTTTGTTTGTATGTGGTGCTGAGGATCGAACCCAGGCCGCTCCCATGCCAGGGGAGCGTGCTACCGCTTGAGCCACATCCCCAGCCCCGTGTTATCATTTTTTAAAGAAGAAAGTTCAGTAGTTTAGGCTGAGTCGCGTTCTGAAGCTCAGTTACAGATCACAATCCACCTCACTTATCAACTCTGTTCTGATCCTTTGAGTTCTTATTAAGTTTAGGTCATGAGACCCCAGACTCAGGAAGCAACAACCCTGCAGCCTGAAATGGGATAGGCCAGAACCCCTCAGGTGGGGACGGAGGGGCCCCCAGGGTTCTACCTCAGCACACATCACTTTCCACACTAAGAACTCCTTCCTTCTCACTTGGGTCTCTTCTATGAAAACTGGTTGGTGAGAGATTTTAGAAAAATTATTACTATGTTTCTGACCGATTTGTTGCAGCATTTAGAAAAATATAGTGATAAGGAAAGCAATCAACTTCTTAAAAGTCAGGCAATTATTAATTCCAGGAAAAATTGTAACAGTAGAATACTACCTAGCTCAGCTCTGAATGTGAACATAATTTAATAACAAAAACAATGCCCAGAGATTCAGTCCAAACTGTGCTTCTACCTATACTGGAAGAAAGTAAGGGTAAGGATAGACTGTTACATCTCCAAGTAGCATAACAATGTTGTTTAAAGAACGGCAGACACAACATATTTAGAAATATAACCAGAGGAAGGTGAAAGAATTGAAAGTGTCCCTAGATGACGGGAAGGAGCAGGAAAGGACTAGGAATAAAAGCTCTGAGTCTTTCACGACCTTTTGGAAACTCAATTTTTTTTTTTTTTTACTTCCGGTGTGGTGCTGGGGATTCAACTGCGGGCCTTGGGCACCCTAGGCAAGGCTCAACCTCTGAGCCGCACCCCCAGCCTGGAAGTTAATATTTTAAGGAATAGCACAGCAACCTGCAGTGGGGACAGCTATCCCTATCAGGCCCGACACCAGCTCAGGTCAGGGCAGTGCCTGGCACATGTTAAGGGGTAAATAAACTGTTTATAAATCAGTGAGTGAATCAACCAAGCAACAAATCAAACTGGTTGATTCCCAGTGGGTGTGACAGGTCGTAGGAAATCTGCTACTAGGGAGAAAGCCCTGTCAGCTGGACTTCTCCCAGGATCTCCAAGGCATCTCACAGGCGGGTCTCCAAGAGGAAAAGGCAGGAGACCCACAGGGAAGCCCAGCACTCAGGAGTCCCAGAAGCTCAAGGACACAGCCCCAACCCACACAGCCCAGGTGAAAGGGCCAGGCTTCCTTGCACAGCAAGGTTGGCCTGGACTTCCCAGAAGGCAGCTGAAGAGAGGCCCTGCCCTGTGTCAGGGAAGTCTGTGTCCACAGGAGGGGACATCACAGCATCCAGAAAGCTCTGGGACCAGCCCTGCTTCACTGGCTGTGGGATTTCTTTCATTCTTTTTTGGGGGAAGGTACTGGGGATTGAATTCAGAGGTATTTAACCACTGAGCCCCATCCCTAGTCCTTTTTATTTTTTATTTTAAGACAGAGCTGGCCTTGAACTTGCAACCTCCTGCCTCAGCCTCCGAAGTCACTGGGATTACAGGTGTGCACTACTGTGCCTGGCCTGGCTGTATGATCTTGAACAAGTCACTTGGCCTCCCAGAGATTCACCTTATCATCTCTAAAATGTGAATAAGCTCATGAAAGCCAGTGTGAGGGCTGAACAAGGTGACATGTTTCAAGCCTAGTGCACAATACCTACTCAAAAATGGCAACCATTATTTTTTAAAGCCTTGAACTACAACAACTGCAGTCATAAAAAAATTTGAAAAATACTCAAGACTGTACAATACCATCATCAAGGACATGCCTCGGCCATTGACATTTTAAAATCTACAGAAATTCTTCTTAAATCTTATGAGAACAGATAGTTCTCAAATGAATCTCACCATTGCTGAGAGTGGTCTTCAGCGCCAAAACAGAAGCTGTTGGAAAGGTGTTCAGGGAAAGCTGCCTGCACCATAAACGACCTGTCAATTAAAAATAAGTAAATAAATATTTTTTGGTTCCAGTGCTGGGGTTGAACCCAGGGTCTGGAGCCTGCAGGCACGTGCTTCATCACTGAGCCACATCCCCTCTTTGTTTTTTGAGACAGGGTCTCTCTAAGTTGCCCAGACTGGTTTCCAACTTGCAATTCTCCTGTCTCAGGCTCCCAAGTTGCTGGGATTACAGGTAAAGGCCACTGCACTCAGCAAAAAGTGGAGTTGTTTTGTGGTGTGGGCAATAGAACCCAGAGCCTCACATATGCTGGGCAAGTGCTTTACCACTGAGCTATATCCCCAGGCCTCCAACAAGAATAAATAAATTTTAAAGATACATTCCTACATGAAGAAGGACATTTAAAATAATAACGTGAGCCAGCTACTGTGGCACAAACCCGCAATCCTAGATACCAAGGAGGCTAAGGCAGGGGAAGTGCAAATTCAGGTCTCGAGATATAAAGGGCTGAGGATGTGGCTCTGTGAAGCACAATTGGGTGCAATGCCCAGTACCCCCAAAATAAATAAAACAGTGACATTCATAGAATAATACCATCCACAGAATTAAAGAACTAAGAGAAGTGGACGAGTGATTTCCGGGCTCAGTGACCACTGGCCAAGTAGCTGCCATCATCCTGCACCTTCTCTTCACCCTCCCATCAACCAGGCATCATGCTTGGCAGTCACTTTAAAAATCCCTCTGCCGTGGGCCACACCCCTGCTGTGGTCCTGCTGCCACTTCTTTGTTCAGGTCTTAGCATCACTCAGCCACAGGTTAAAGGTTTCTTAATGGGTCTCCCGCCTCTCCCCTTGTATTTACCACCTTTCTACAGTAAGAAGCTTCATCAATTAACAGCCCTGACATGTCCTTCCCTGGCTCCCTGCTGCCAAGTTACAAATTCTGGGCACAGCCTGCAGGACTGCGACCTGGCCCCAGGCTTCCACACCAGCCTCCCACTGCCCCTGCCCCACCCTCCCCATAGCCATCCAGACACACAGTTAGTCTTGAACTCGCTCTCATACACTTTTGTATATGAGTTCCTGGATCCACCAGATCCTGGAGGCTCAGCAGCTCTTGTGAAACCTCCACCCTCTGAAGCCCCCACAGCACCAGGCTCTGACTGTACCTCCCTGTGCAACCCTTCATACAGTGTGGTTCTCCAGAACAGGCTTGGACAGCATTTATGGGCAACTGATTTTTGGCAGAGGGACCATGACCATTCAATAGGGAAAGAGGAATGTGTTCAATAAATGGTGTTGGAATAACAGGGTGTCAACCCATAGAAGAATGAAGTTGGAGCCCTACCTCACACCCTATGTACAACTTAACTCAAAATGGACTAAAGATCTAAAGGTAAGAGCTAAAACTATAAAACTCCTAGAAGAAAAACAGAGGTAAATTATCATGACCTCGGGTCTACCAATGGTTTCTTAAACATAACTCCAAAAGTTCAAGTGATAAAAAGAAAAAGAAAAAAAAAAAGATAAATCAGACTTCACCAAAATTTAAAACCTGTGTTTCGGGGAGGGGGATAAAGCTCAATGGTAGAAGAACCAGCATGCCTGGGTTCAGTCTCTAGCACTACAAAAACAAATAAACAAAAACCTTGTATGTCTCAAAAAACACTATCAAGCCAGGCATGTGGTGCACGCCTATATTCCCAGCAGCTCTAGGGGCTGAGGCAGGAGGACTGTTGAGTTCAAAGCTAGCCTTAGCAAAGCCCTAAGCAACTCAGTGAGACCCTGTCTCTAAAAATATATATAAAAAAGGGCTGGGGATGTGTCTCAGTGATTAGGCACCCCTGGGTTCAATCCCCAGTACAAAAAAAAAAAAAAACCCACAAACTATCAAGAAAGTTAAAAAACAACATATGGAATAAAATTCTGCAAATCATACATCTGATTAGACACCTATAGAACTCCTTACAATTCAATAATAAAACGAAAACCCAATTTTAAAAGAGCCAAAACACTTGAACAGAAATTTCTCCAAAAAAATATGTAAAAATGGCTAATAAGCACATGAAAATACATTCATATCCAGCAGGGAAATGCAAATCAAAATTTCAAATTAATACCATTTCAAACTCACTAGGATGGCTATAATCAAATGACAGATAATAAGAAATGTTGACAAAGAAAAATCAAAACCCTCACTGTACCCTCAGGTACTGTGAAAACATTCTGGCCATCCCTCAAAGTTAAGTGTGGAATTACCATTTTAACCAGCAACTCCATTCCCAGGCACATACTCAAGAGAAAAGAAAATAGACACACATGCAAAAACATGGTATGCTAATGTTTACAGCAACATTAGGCATAATAGCCAAAAGCTGGAAAACAACCCAAGTGTCCCTCAACTGATGAGTAGATAAAGTGTGGTGATGGACACATTACAATTCAGCCCTAAGAAACTCAGAATGATACATGTTACAATGTGGATGAATCTTAATGACCTTGCACCAAATAAGCCAGCCATATATGTGGTTCTATTTATATGAGCTAAGAAGAGTGGAAAATAGATCAGTGGTGGCTACAGCTAAAAAGCTTTCTTCTTGGAGTGATAAAAATGTTCTAATTAGATTATAACGATAATTGCACGGGTTTGTGAAAGTATTTGTGCACTTCAAATAGATGTACTGTATGGTATGTGAGTTATAGTTCAATAAAGCTGAAAAAAACAAAAAAAACAAAATAATTATACACAAGAAGACAAAAAAAAAATAGAAAAAAAAAAAACACACTTTGGTGTCAGAAATTTTGGGTGCAAAAACCTATGTCCCTTGCTCAATCTGTGTGGCTCCCTCCACCACCTGTATAAAGAGTGTAATAACAGAATCTACTCCATAAAGGGATTGGGAAGACAGTGAGGGAAAACGCATGAACAGAGGAAGACAGTGGCTGGCACACAGTTGAGACTCATGAAGGAAGACAGCTATGAAAGGGGCCTTGAAATAGTAGGAGATGGGGGAAGAAACATAAAAGGAAGAGACAATCACAAGGACAAAAGAAAATAATATTAAGGTCAGATTTTCTGCCAAGATTGCTGGTCAAATTTTTTGCTGCAAAATGAGTTACAAAAAAAAAAAAAAAAAAAAAAAAAGGGAACTTTGAGGGTTTTAGGGGGCTTTGAGTTTCAGAATTAGAAATGCTGAACTGTGGACTTAACAACAAAATAGGGCAGAGAAGGCAGGTGGCGGCCACCCAGCGGCCCTGGAACCAACCTTACGCGGCACGGCAACAGGGCGCCTTCCTAGGTGCACACAACCCACCAGGGGGCGGGGGGGGGGGGCGGGGGACAGGAACGGCGACACTGCGGGCTGACGTCCGAGTCATCCGTCTCTGCACTGAGGCCACCGGCCAGCTGGAATTCAGCTGACCGAGGCCAGTGCTCTCCGACTCCACCTGGAGAACCAACATCACCTTCAGAGCCCCGCGGGCGCCTCTCAGCCTCGAACCCGGTGGGCATCACCATGTGACCCCGGGGGTCGCGCCTGCCCGCCGGGAAAGCGAGGCTCGCCAGTTCCCTCCTCTTCACCGAAACGAACCGTGAAGAACCGAGTACACTTCACGGTCATTTTACAGCCAAGCAACCCGACGCCCAGAGAGGCAAGGAACGCGCGCAAGGTCACCCAGCGGTCCCGGGCTGGATGGGAGAGCCGTCGGAGGCTGCTCGCTTCCCTACGCGCGGATTCCCGCAAGCCCTGGCGACCCCCGGCTCCCGCGCCCCCTCCCCGCGCTCACCCGTCGACACGCCGCACAGCGCAGGCAGGCGGCCCGCAGCTCGCACCGCCGCCGCCATGCTGGAGCGCGAGCCGCGCCGCCTCCCTCCGGGGCAGCCGTCCCTTCGCCTGCCGCGAGGCTCCTCGTCAAACGGCGGGCCCCAGCCCTCGGCTGGAGGTGCGAGACCCGAGGACCACGCCGTAGCCCATATCGGGTTGGAAGGATTATCCGGATGGGCCACTGGGTAGGTTGGGTCAGGCGTAGCCGCGGACAGCTCCGCGGGGTCCTCGCGCTATGGCCCGGGGGCGGGGCTGGGGCGGGGCCATCCCGGGGCGCGGGGCGCGAGTTGGAGGTGGCTGCTTGTGAGGGCCCGGGAGGTCGGGCTGGTCCAGCGAACTGTCCGAGGTACCCAGGGCCGGGACAGACTAAGTGTAGGGAGGATCCACCGGGTGGATAAGACAGAGGAAGTGTGGAGAAATTGAAACCCGCTCCAGGAAAGCCCTGGAGTTTGGGAGATGAAGTACTTTGCACGGGTTTCACAGGCATTTCTGCATTTATTCTGATTCCAATATGTGGTCGTCACACACGCATATCCCATGGTTTTTCCGTTCATCTCAGGCTCCGCTTTATGCAGTCTGTTCTTGCGCAAATGATGCACAAACCTGCCACAAAGGACGGCAGGAATGTGTTGTAGGAAACGGACTCCTGCTCAGATAGTCTTTAACGATCGATCGGATCAGGATTAGAATGTTCAGACATACAGAAAAGTAAAAATCGTGGCAAACTAGAGGCAGAGCCTACCAAGACTGACATAGTTGGGCTGGGGTTGTGGCTCAGCGGTAGAGCACATGCAAGGCCCTGGGTTCGATCCTCAGCACCACATAAAAATGAATAAATAAAACAAAGGTATTGTGCCCAACTACAACTAAAAAATAAATATTAAAAAAAAAAAAAGTGACACAGTTGTTGTGCACTGCTGACCTTTGTGGCTGAGACAAAAGCCAGTTCAATATGGACAGCCCAGGTCAGATCGGTGGCAACTTTCTGGTCTGTGTTGTCAAGCCTTCAAATGCTGTAAAGTCAATAGCAAGTTTGTTTTTTATTTTGGTTGGCATGTTGTTTATACCTAAATAATTATACATTTGAAATAATTATACATTCACAGGAAGTTACAAAATTAGTACAAAAAGATCCCATGCACCATTCACCCAGTTTCCTGAAATGGTAATATTTTACAGAACTATAATGTGAAAAACCAGGAAGTTGGCATTGATGTAACCCACTGAGTTTGTTCAGATTAATCAGTTTTGCATGGACTCATCTGTGAAAGTGTGTGTGTGGAATTCTATACAATTGTAGCATAGTAGACTTATGTAACCACCACCACAATCAATGTACAAAACTTCTGTCTCCACAAAGATCCCTCCTTTCACCTGTAGAGACACTCATCCACCCTCCCACCATCTGGAAGATGGCAACCTCCAGTCTATTCTTCATATCTATAATTTTGTAAACTTGAGAACATTAATAAATGGAGTCACATAGTGTATGATGTTTTGAGTTGGCTTTTAGACTGTTGATGTCTATTCAAGTTGTTTTATAGTTTCTCACTTTTATTACTAAGTACTTATTATTACTGCCATTTGTTTAACCATTTGCCCTTTCTAGCATATTTGGCTTGTTCCCAGTTTAGGGCTATTCCAACCAAAGCTATCATAAACACTCATGTACATATTTTAGACATTTAAACTTTAAAAATTGTAGCAAATACATGTAAACTTTACCATCTTAACCATTTTAAGTGTGCAGAACAGTGGCATTAAATAAATTCATATTGTTGTGCTATCATAATCACCTTCTGTTCATAGAATTCATTTCATCTGTGCTGGGTGTGGTGGCGCACACCTGTAATCCCAGCTGCTTAGGAGGCTAAGGCAGGAGCATCACAAATTCAAGGCCAGCCTTAGCAACTTAGTGAGACCCCATCTTGAAATAAAAACAATAAAAAGAGCTAGTGATACAGGTCAGTGGTAGATCACCCCTGGATTCAATCCCTAGCACTGGGGGAAAAATTCTTTACATTTTGAAAAATTGAAACTGTACCTACCAAATGCTAACTCCCCCTTCCTGTCTCTCAGCCCTACCTTTCCCCTTTATGTCTCAAGAAGTATGCCTACTCTGAGTACTTCATACAAGTAGAGTCACACAGTATTTCTCCTTTTTCTGGTTGATTTCACCTAGTAGCATTTGGCAGAATCGTCCTTTAGAGATCAATAATATTTGCATGCACATGCGTGTACACACACATATAACTCCATATATATGTCATGTATACAGCTGTTGCATATATATAACTCCATCCCTGTGGTGTTTATACAGTCACCTGTCAAGGGACAATTGGGTTATTTCTACTTTTTGTCTATTGTGAATAATGCTTCCATGAACATGGGTGTATGAGTATGTCTTTGAGTCCCTGCTTTCAATTCTCTGAAGTGTATACCAACCCCATACCTGTTTCTGCATAGGCATAAGATTTCATTTCTCTGGAATAAATGCCAAGTACTAATAGTCCTAGATGTATGGTCAGTATATGCTTGGTTTTTAAAGAAACTGCCAGCTGGGTGCCGTGACACATGCCTGTAATCCCGGTGGCTTGGGAGGCTGAGGCAGGACGATTATGAGTTGAAAGCCAGCTCAGCAACTTAGCAAGGCCCTAAGCAACTCGGTGAGATCCTGTCTCTAAATAAAATATAAAAAAAGGGCTGGGGATGTGGCACAGTTGTTAAACACCCATGGGTTCAATCCCTGGTACCAAAAAACAAACAAAAAAACTGCCAAACTGTTTTTCAAAGTGGTCTTAGCATTTTATATTCCTACCAGCAACATGTAAGAGATAGATGTTCTCTGCATGCTCACTAGCATGTAGTATTATCACCATTTTAAAAGCTGTTCTAATGGGTATATAGTGAGATCTCCTTATGGCTTTAATTTATATTTCCCTAATAGTTAATAACACTGAACTCCTTTCATGTGTGTGTTTGTTTTTCTTAACCATCTTTCTGCATATCCTTTTTGGTGAAATGTCTGTTTGTGTGTTTGCTCATTTTCCAGTTGGATTATTTGGTTTCTTTTCTTTTCTTTTTTCCCCCAAGTACTGGGGATTGAACTCAGGACCACACACATGCTAGGCAAGAGCTTAACCACTGAGCTACAGCCCCAGCCCTGATGATTTCTTTTACTGTTCAGTTGGAAGATTTCTTTATTCTAGGTGAGTCCATTTTCAAATAGATAATTTGCGAATATTTTCTCACAATCCACAGCTTGCCCTTTAATTGTTTTAACAAGGCCACTTGGCCATTCACCAAGCAACAGGTTTTTATTTTGGTAATCCAGTTTATTAATTTCCTTCATGCATTGTACTTTTGGTGTCGTGTCTAAGAACCATCTCCCTAATTCATGGTCTAAAGCTTGTCTCCTGTTATTTTCTAAAAGTTTTGTAGTTTGGGGCTTTACATTTAAGTCTTTACTCCATTTTATTTTATTTTGTTTTATTTTTGTAAGATGTGTGAGGTTTAAGTCGGCTTGCAGAAGTGTTCAGACAAGCCAGTCACTTCCTCCCCCAGGAGCCAGGGGTCCCCTTATCCTCATTTCTACAAAACTGCCTCCCACAGCCACTGCTAGTCCACTCTGCACCCACATGCATCCCCATGTTGCCCAGTGGGACATCTGTGTCTTCCTTTTATAAACTACTGTTGAGCTCATCTGTCATTGTGTGGTCAGCCATCCACATGGCCCTGGATCCATTTTTAGTGTATTACAGAGCTGTGCAACATCATCACTGTCAATTTTAGATCAGTTTCATCACCCCAAAGAGAAACCCCCATACCCTCTGCCACTCCCCTGATCCCCATCTGCTACCCCAGCCTGAAGCAATAGCTAGTCTACTTTCTATCTCTATATATTTGCCTCTTCTAGAAAATTCCTATCAATGCAGTCACACAGGGTCCATTGTGGCTGGCTTCTTTCACTTAGTATAACATTGTTGCAGTTTATCCATATTGTCCCAGGTATCTGTACTTCCTTACATTTTATGGCTGAGTAACATTCTGTTTGCCTGGATATACAACATCTTATCCATTTGTCAGTTGACGTACATTTGGGTTACTTCTGCATTTTGTCTATTATAAATAATGCTGCCATAAACATGCATGTACAACTTTTGTGTAAACATGCTTTTGTTTCTTTTAGATATGTACCTAAGAGCAGAATTGCTAGGTCACATGGTAACTCTGCCAGACTGTTTTTCAAAGTGGCTGCAATATTTTACAGTCCTACCAGCAGTGCTTAGGATTCTGATTTCTCACCAATAGTTTTGGAGGTTCAAGCGCTGCTGTTTTAATCTGGTTGTCTCTTATTATCTAGTTTAATTGGTTCTTTGAATCTTATGGATACAAGCCCCTTATGGGTATATGATTTGTAATTATTTTCTTCCATTCTGTAGATTAAGTACTTTGCCTCGGATTTCACATCCTTTCTTAATAAGTATCCTTTGAAGCACGAAAGACTTGAGTTTCAATTGTGTTTTTCTATTTTATTGCCATTGCTTATGTATTTGGTGTCATGTCTAAGAATTCACTATCAAATCTGAGATTATGAAGATTTGACTCCGGGGCTGGGGATGTGGCTCAAGCGGTAGCGCGCTCGCCTGGCATGCGTGCGGCCCGAGTTTGATCCTCAGCACCACATACAAACAAAGATGTTGTGTCCGCCGAAAACTAAAAAATAAATATTAAAAAAATTTAAAAAAAAAGATTTGACTCCATGTTTTCTTCTAAGAATTCTTACATTTAAGTCTTTAATCCATTTTGTGTTCGTATTGGTGAGATGTGGTCCAACTTTACTCTTGTGCATATGGCCCTCCAAGTGTTACATCATCATTGGTTAAGGGGAGGGAAAAAAGAAAGAAAAAGATAAGGAGAAGACAGGAAAGACTATTTTTTCCCTATTGAATGGTCTTGTCACACTTGTTGAAAATTAGCCGTCCATAGACATGTAGGTTCACTTCTGAGCTCTCGATTCTATTCCATTGATCTACAACATCTGTACCACACTATC